ACTGTATTTTGGCTCATTCAAGTAAATGAAGTTCCGATAGAAATCACTCAAAGACCTTTGTGGGTTTAAATTTTCTCCGCAGCCCGCCACATCAAACCACGTAAACTGATCATGGCGAGAGCAGCCCTGGCTCACCTCGCTTCATCTCTGAACGCGCCTGGCTTGGACCCCGCGTAAAGACCAAACGGCAGTAACTTTCGTCCGTGCATGACAGGCGTCCAAGCATTTTGTTGCCATCCTCTTGAAGGAGACATGGGTCTCCAAAAGCCAGAGGTAGAAGAGGCTTTTAACAGTCCAAATGGGGTGGTTAGTAAATTGAATGTCTTAATCCTAATTCTACCATATTAATAGTGTCTCTCTCTAAATATATACAGTAAATTACAGTAATAGATGTGTGTATAATACTTGATTAGTAATAACTGCCCTGACTATTTCTGCACACTGGTATGACTCTTAGGGCTGCAAGGGCGCATGAACTTGACAAAAGAAACCAAACTTGCAGGGAACCTACCATCTTGACCTCGCACTCTCCTCCTCTGCATGTCCCAGCTAAGTCACCATGCTCTTGCCCTTTTGAGGGCCTCCAAGCGGCAGCAATCTCAGTGTGAAGCAATGTGAGGTGGAGCCAGTCCCGATCAAGTTCAGATTACTTCAAGTCTGTCTGCAGTGATGTTGATCCCGGAAAAGCCGCATCAAGAAATTGGAAACGGCGCGGGGTCACCGTTTTTTCCCAGAGGATCGGTTTACGAAGCGGGCCACAACTGACCCCTTTAGGGTTCAACGGTCAACAGCTCAACATGACATGTTTTGCATGTCGTTTATTTGATTCGATGGTGTTTTGTCCAACAAACATGAACTCTCTTCTTCTTCCATCTGTGATCCTCTGGGCACTGAACAGACATCCTCATTGAGCACGAGCAAGATCGCTCACATAATTAGTATGTGATGGGATATAATAGATGATTGAAGCTTTAGAGCTTTAGAGCTTCAGCTTCTTCAGGACGTAGTCCACAGCGCGCTTGCCATGGCTGTCCTTCTGCCTGGGGTCCGCGCCGAACTTGAGGAGGAGGTTCATGATCATCATGTTTTGCTCCTGAGGCGGGGGTCCCGGCCATTTCCAGCATGCCCTGGATCATCTGTTCATTGGGTCGACCTGAACATCCCTGAAGTACTTAGTATGGACCTCCAGGACACCCAAATGGATGATCCTCAAGTATTGCATACTCAATACCTGGACCCTCCTGTCGGGGTGTCCTGGCTGGACTACCCCACACTACCGGCCGTTCGGCTTCCAAACAGGGCACCCCGACTGGGGAGGGTCCTGGTATCTGATCTACGACCTCAACATCCGCTTCCTGGATCTGAACTGCCGTGAACCACCCGAAACACCGCCCTCCACCTCACCCTCACGTAGCCAGGTGTAGCCTCCCTCCCTGTGGAGGACAGCGGATCCTTGGCGGCGGTGTGCAAAGGGTAGGTCTGCCTTGGCGCTCTCCACCGTGACTGGTGGAGTGGAGGGACCGGGGGTGTGGGACCGGTGGTGTTCCAAGTTCACCAGAGTCTGCCCAGATCCGCAGACCTGCGGGGTCGTCTTGGAAGGGAGGCTTTCCGAAGTGACGAAGTGGGCTCCTGGCATTTCGAAGGTCTTTCCCCAAACCCTAGGGCTCGCCCATATCCTCAGGTTCGGTGGTTAACCACCACCGCTTTTCGGATGTGGGAGCCCTAGGGCTTCACCCCTGCCGCATGTCCCAGTCACTCATTGGATCCCGTTCCGTCCGTCCGGATGTACCTTTTCCCGGGTGGGGATCGGATGACGGACGGTCCTAGTGGGGTCATGAAGCGTTCCCAGACGTTCAAACGGATGTTTGTTCGCAGGGAACGAAACGAAATGGGTCAGGATGTGTGTTTAAAGATCCTGCAAACAAGGTATTTTGTTCTAAATGTCCGCCAAGGCCGCAGTGCAACGCGGGCACTCAAGGTTGGTAAACATGTGCAACCCCTAGTTCGAACTAAGCTGAACAAAACCCATGGTGCATTTGACCAGGATCATCCTGTCTGGGTGTCCTGACCTTCATGTGCAAGGGTAGTCGAGTAAGCCAAGTGACCCAGTGGCTGGAGCGCCAGGGCTCCTCCATCCGTTGGCAACACAAATGGGTGTGCAGCTCAAATGAATAGGGAGACCTCCAGTGAGTTCGATTGCCTTGGAAGAAAAGAACATAGACCATTCATGACCAGTCTACCATAGTCTACTCATTGGGTTTTACGGCGTCTCCCGAATTTAAAGTACACACCCACATCAACTCACAGGATATTCGCATGCTACGCCAGGTCTCTCCCCTCCGTTCTAGTCAGTCTCATGAAGGGTGTCACATGCGAAGCCCACTGAAGTTTTGAAGCTGGCACTTCCGGTTGGAACGTATCCCAGACACTCCATCGGACTTGAATTCTTTTTACCTACATGGCTGGAGTGTCTGGGTATGCTTTCTTGGTCATCCTTTCCCTGACCCGAAAGGCAGAAGACATAGCCAGCCCCCCACGATCCGCCGCAGATGTCCATGAACCAAGAGGCTGGAAGCCAAAGTAGGCGCTTTTGGCATCATTAATACCGGCAAAGTGATGTTCCAGGAGGAAGTCCTAGAAAAATGATCTTGGTGTTGCTTCCAAGATGGAAGGGGACAACCACCTAGTACTAGCTGTGGTTGGGAAAGTCCCAGCAAAAATCATTGGTCCGGACTCAACAGCAAAGCATGCCCAAACACGACATGTTTGGGACTGAGGGTTCGTCATCAACCACTTCTGGCCAGGTCTCGGTCCAAATCTGCCAGTCCCAAACAGGTCAAAATCTGGGGAGATGGCTGTGTATTTGAGGAAGGCCCCCCCAAAATCTCAGGGAAGAACCGGAAGATGAAGCAATCACCGGAGGATAAAGGACTCTGAAGGTGTCGATGGTTAGGGTCCTGGTACATCCTCGAAGGACTTCTTCACCTCTTTCGTTTGTTGGAATTATGGAAAAACACAGCCAAAAAGCAGTGAGTGAAGAAAAGGGAACACCATATTACCACATACCGTACCTGTATGAGAAGAAACAATAGCAACCAGATCGGTCTTTGGTAAGATCTCTTGGACCTTGCCTTTTTGATTCACTCCCAATACCGGCACTGTGGGTACTTCATGCCTCGTTCAACCGGGTCAGTTGGCCAAGCGGGACTTGCCCTGATGTCTCCTGGATCTGCTTCCAATCCCTTGCACGACGTTCTTGCTTCTTCTGCTCCTTCTCCTGAGCAGGAGCGGGTGTCAAACCGGAGACAGCCAGCGCCAGCTGGGCTGAAGACCCAGAATGAGAATCGGCTCCTGTAGCCAGATCGAATCCACTTATAGATATTCTACAAACTCATCTTCAAGAGACCTCTGTGAAACTCTGTGACATTTTTTTGAGCAAACACCCATTTGGCACGTCATTGCGTCACATCCCATTGCCCTGGCGGACTCCGCCTTGGCTTCTCGCAACTTCTCCGCCTTGCGCAACTCATAGGCTTTCCTCAATTGGCATGAAGCGAAGAGCCCGGAACCGAACCCGGCAAAGAAGCGTTTTTGAATGGACCTCCTAATGCAAAAAAGACCGGATTTGGATTTGATTGACCTCCAAAAGCGCAAACTAGGTAACATCCTTCCAGCGATGACATGATGTGCGAACGAATTAACGTATCCATGTCGTCTCCTTTCTTCAGCGAACCCCCTTCCCAACACGACATGCTGAAAGTAGAATGCCATGCGCCATGTCGCCAGTCCCTTCCATGAGAGCCTGATCCAAGTGTCACCTCCTCAAGAGAGCAGCTGCGCACTTGATCCTCCTCCACTAGCTTGCAGCGCCCGCCGATCTGCTCGAACCTGGCCCGCATGCTTCGCGATGAGGTGAGTCGTGCGAGGCGAACCGTCGCGCATTTTCTCATGCACGTGGAACATTGGTGGAGGTGGCTGGGTGTGAAAAACATAGCAGTGAGACATCTGTAAATTAAGGTTTTCTCCAGGATGACGACCAGATCAAACCCTGAGAAAGGCAAATTCAAAGTCATAGTAAAGCTTCCCAGACCATTCATGAATGTATATATATATATATAAGGCTGCAAGAATTGGGTTCCGAATCTGGGCTTCGGAAGAGATCCAGAGTGACAGCATGACCATCACAGTTTTCGCCAGAAAATTCCTTCGTGAAAACTGGAGACCTGGCCCCCCAGGCCACGCATCCTCTGTCAGTCTGTCAGGCCAAGCATCTTCCCGCGCTGTTCTTCCCACCTCCCCACCCTCGGCCCTGGCTCCACCCCTTCTCATCGGCCCTGCCCCACGGCCTGAACTCAGTCGGTGCCATTTAGGGAAGCACGATCTTTGGCTGCAGAATTCAAATGAATTCAAGCTACAAACGGCTGCGTCGGACGTACACCATAGGCTGCTGAGCTTCTAGGTGCAAACCTGAGACATCAAGTGCGTGGTGTGAGATATGCTTCTCAAGTGACAGAATGATGGGCACCACTTGGTGCAATGCTTCTTAGTTTTGGTGTTGCTTGAAGTCTTCTGGACTGTCATGTCGTAGGAAAACACACAAGGACTGATGACTGCCCCAAGTCATCCTTTCACGACAGCCACATCATCTGGTCGTGTTCGCCCCGAAACGCACCAACGAACACAGAAAGACAACACTGATCAGCGCTGTCGGATCAACATACGTCTTCACCCCTGCAGGTTGATCTCTCTACACGTCCTGTTTTCACTGCCTTGGAGTCTCAAAGTCGCCAATGATCCGCGAGGAGTTACTGGTTTTCTCCTGAAATCTAAAAAACACATCCGCAATGGGTTTCTGGATGTTTCTGGCCATCAGTTTCAGCCGTTTCATCTGTTTCATCTCCTTTCGCTTCTACACACACCTCCTCTTCCTTTCAACACCAAGCGACCTACGTACCTTTCAACACGACCGTCGTTCCAAGGCGCCAGCTATGCCGAGCTGCGGTAGATGTAGACCACCCGTCGGAACTTGGCGGCACAGTTGGGACACCTGATGGCCATCGGCGTTCCTTTTTTTTTTCGCCGAGCCTGATGGTTTGGTCAGTGAAGCTGAAATGAAATACTGGCATTGTACCAGGACCATCCAGGATTCCCAGGAGTTGGGTGGTGAATGGGCACCCCGAATCGCGAAGAAGGGGCTATTTACATAGACACCCCGACAAGGCCCTTGGAGGGTCCTGGTATTCTATTCATACAAGTTAACAACACGACTGACCTGGAGGTTTCAGTTGACCTGGATCAGGACCTGGTCCGTAGTACGCCTGGTTGCATATCCAAACGGGGAGTTCCGTCCGGCATGTCACGGCATGTCGCTTCGTCAACCCGAAGACCAGCTTTCACAGGGAAACCCAACTCATGGCTTGAAACATGCAGGTTTGCCATCCGAACACCTTCCTTGTTCCGTTCGCAGTCCGATCGCTCCGAACTCGTAAACATCCGATCGCTCCGGACCCCGTCGACGGAGCCCGTCCGAAAGGCGAGGGCGGGGTGTTGTCCAGGTCCCCAACGGTCCCCACCCGGGTGCGGCGCGCCACCGTACCGAACGCGTCCTCCGAAAAGGGTCAGATGGGTCCCCTTTCTCGGATCGGCCTATGAACCGGACTGTTAACGCCTGGTTCGGAGCCAAATCCAGAGTACCAGTCAGAGCGAAAGGGGTGCTATCCGAGGAAGAGAAGGGGGTGTCAACATCCACATGACCTTGGGGATTCGGGTCCATGTCTCCAGGTGACTAGGTCAGATCCAGAGAACTCCGTTCGGCTTCAAAGATCCCCGGCGAAAGGTCCGAGCGTCTCTCGACTGCGCCGAGAAGAACGCGCAGAGCGACGAAGCAAACGCGCGGAGCTGTGGGGTGAAGCGACAGTGCGCCGAATGGTGCGAGGCCCATTTCACCCTTTAAACCGATGGACGAAATAAGACCTGAGAGCTGCCTTTTTGAGAGATGTTGTGGATGAACATCATGCATTAATTATGGATTGCTCATTCCAGCCTCATTGGTGAGATGTGAACTTGGGTCGCTTTGGGTCAACTCCATCCCACTTAGAAGAACTCAAGACCAGGAGTCACATGGAGTTGGGTGGTTTTTAGCCTCTAAGTGAGTGGATGTGGCAGGAGCACCCCGATCCTATCCTCCGTTTGTTCGGCAGCCCGACATGGAACTATACTGGCCACTGCTTGATTGCAGGGCCAGTGGATGAAAAAGGCCAGACACTCCAGGTCCATGTCTGTCAAAAATGCCTACATGGACCCTTCCACCAGTCCCCCCCTAATGAATCTACCAGTCCCCGGTCTCAGCTCGCCCTCCGCGCACTCCGCGCATCCCAGTGGCATGCACTGCGAAGGGCCCTGCCGCGCCACCACGTGGCCCTGAGACACCGAGAGTCTCGGAACGGGATGTAGTCTGAGGACGGAGGAAGTCCATGTCTCTGAATGAAGTCCCTTTTTCTTGCAACATGGATGGGTTGTTGAGGTTATTATATTAATAGCCTGGTACCAGGGGTCACATGTCGGGGTGGGTTTTTAGTGCCTATAGAGTGAGTGGATGTTCTGGGCACCACTATCCTCCAATGGGCACCCCTTTGTGACTCCTGGTGCTGGTACCTGGATCTTCCAACTATGACCAATTCATGCCTCGGATCGTTGGAAAAAATAAAACAATCCGGTGCAACAGCTCTTCAGCTCGAGCAGCTCGCCAAAGCTCGCCACGTCGTCGGTCGGAGTCGTGGAGGGTCGAGGCCAGGTGACCCAGAACGGATGGTCCTATGATGTACTATATGGATCTATATGGCATAGTCGAAAAAACAGCAACCCGTCTGACCATGGTTCAGCTGTCAACGAGCTTCACTCTAGCTTCACTCACTCTAGCAGCCGACTCCAAATCGCCCTGACATGTTCAGTTCGACTCGTCCAGTCCAAGACGAACATCGAACCCGGTGAAGTGGAAGTCGGACGAATAAGGCGAAGCCGACTCGAACCGCTGGGTCAGTGGCTTTTTCTTGGTCGGTAGGTCAGCTTGCCTTGATCTGTAGGTCCTAGGTCTGTGAACCACACCGCAAGCAACATACCACCTCATACCACCTCTGCTGACAAAGCACGTTCGGTGAAGAACGCTTTTGGCTCACCAATAACTGCTCGTAGCTGGTGTATAAACGCCCATAGAATATCAGAAAACTGACTAGAGAATCTAGAGGACTATCTGCAGACTCAAACATGAGACAATGACTCCAAAAGATGGTTGTGACGCCGCTGCTCAAAACACACCGAGGAAGCTCCAGGTATAGGGCCTCTGTTTGAGAGGAACTGGACGTCAATACCTTCTTGAACACCTTCCAACCAACTGCAACCTCTCTCCCCTTGAGCCGTCAACCTTGCATGGGAAGGTGTCACAATGGAAGGGCGAATGGCTCTTCCAAAATCGCAGACCTTGACCTGAGCAAGCGAACGCATGCACAGATCAGGGCAGACCGGCAGGCGCTGTGTTTCCAAAGCCCAACTGGCCGGGTAGACGTACATGTTAAGTACTGTACGTACTCTGACTCCCTCAGTCTTCCTGCAACCACCTGTTCTTGTTTAGTGGGTAGACAGTAGACAAACCCCCAAACATGATATACAGTTATACACCGCGCATCCTAAATAGATGCATAAAGTATAAAGTATCGTCCCTTCGTCTCTATCCCCACATGTCTCGATTCTCTGCGTCGATCTCGCTCGCCGACAAGGGCTCCGCGGCTCGGCGACGTCTGAGGCAGCGAAGGAGTTGCTTCGAATGGATGGATCGGATGATCGGATGGCAACTCGAAGAAAGGACCCCCATGTCTGTTCTTGGGGTTTGCGCCACTACTAATGAGTCTCTTTGAAGTGATATGACCTATATCCTTGTTCAATACAAGGCCCCTCTTTCTTTCTTTCCCGACATGACCATGAATTGGGGTGCCGAACGATGTCTTCAGAGTGCTGAGGTTGCGAAGGAAGATGATAGGTTTGAAGAGAAAACATATACCCTGGGAGTCAAAGACAATCAAAAGAATGGTCTTTAGGCGACCCGAAAAGGCATATGCTTTACTTCAGTGGGGCAAAATATAGTCTTTGGACTTCTAGGGTATATCTCCCTTCTGAAGCGGGTGTCTCCGGCCGATGAAAGCAACACCCACGGCCCCCGGAAGACTTTCGGAGCTTGACAGAAGCACCCCCAAAGGTTTTTGTTAAAGAGACTCTTCTTGTTTCCCCTTGGATGCCAACAACCATTTAGCCTGAATCCCCAAACAACCTCTGTTTGCTACATAAGGATATGTTACACAAAACATATTAAAACATAGCTCTGTCTCACCTTTCGGTCAATTCATCGGTCCAAGACCGCTGACCGCGGCCGCGGTACAAACCGACCGCGCAACCCGGTCGGCTCCTTGGACCACCCGCTCGACCCGGGGCCTCCGGCGATCGCGGAACATGGTGCGCGAGGTCCACCCTTGGCCTCGGATCGTCAGGTACTCCGTCGGTGCGATGGGGCGATGGGGTCCGCAGGTAGGTGAGGTGGCGCAGGTATAGGTGAGGTGGGATGGACCGGGAAGCTCCGGTCAGGTCAGCAGCCAGGTCAGGTTAGGTGGGTTGTTTCATGTGGGTGGTTATATGGTGCATCTGAGATGGCAAGGTTTGTTGAGTTTCTTCATCTTGATGTCAGCCACATTCATCTGCAGCATTTCCGCGTGCTTCGCCCAATCCAGGTGCAATCCGTACTTGCTGCCGTACCACAGGGCACCTGAACACTCCTATCCCTCCAAAAGACCCCCCCTGAACGTCGATGAGTCAATGAGTGCAACGAGATCATGTGAATTCGCGCCCAGAAATCATCCATGTTCGGTCACCGATAGACTAGATACTACCCTATACGGTTATACGCGCCAAAGCATCGCCGCACTGATGTTGGGGCGGTGAAAGTGTATGGGCCACCAGCACCTTCCAAGTCCGGTGGTAGACATGGACACTCCGGTCCTCACCTTGAATCAGAGGCGGTGTCATAGACATCGACACCTCCTTCCGGTGTCGGATCCTGGTAGGTCATATCGCCATGGATCCTGTGGGCTGCATTTATGCACCAGTCTCCATCCAACCAGAACACCCGAAGGGCGGAAAGAACTCGTCTTCTCACGCTGCGGATCTGGGAAACACCGGACGTGCCGATCCATTGACCCCTTAAATCAAGCACCCCCAATGTTTATATATTAATATGCCAGTCCCATGGAGTGTTTGGGCTTCATACTTCTTCTGTTTCACTCTGGCCGTCGGTGCTCCAGTTTCAACCGTCCCAGCGGCCATCCTCGATGAAGGGGATGAAGTCATCCACCTGCGCCGTGGCGGAGGACCGCGCCGCGCCGTGTAGATCCTAAGTCCTCACTGCGTGGGACGGGCATATGAATCGGATCCAAGTACCCTTTGAGAAGGTGAGGCCACCCCGGAGGAGGCCTATCCGCTCTACAAGAAGCTTGGCGCCACGCCCACAACATCATCCTGGCCTTGGGACTGGAGTGGGTTTGGAGGGTCCAAGTACCTTTTGAGGAGGTACTTGGATGTTTAGGGATACATTGTGGTTGATTACAGGGGTCAATGGCCACCATACATGGAGTGTCTGGGGATGTTTTAAAGGCTCCAACGTATAGTATGTCTTGCAGTCCCTTGGCTTGTTGGGGAGTGGTTTAACCCCCCCGAACACGACTGCACTGGAAGATTGACCTAGATCGACCCAAATCACCCAAAATTAACCACCCCCAATTGTTGTTAAAAATGCCAGTCACATGGGTCGTGTCTGGGACATCTTGTAGAAGCACACTCCAGCAGTGGAGGTTAGTGGTGCTATCCGTGGAGGTTAGTGGTGCTGTCACATCCACACCACCCTGGCCTCCATGTGACTCCTGGCTAGTAGTTCTTCCGATCGTTGGATTGCCGGGCCGTCCCTTGCTCGATCCGTCTCTCATCTCTGAACGTTCGGGTCGAGCGCCCGGACCCACCACGCTCGGGCGAAACCAACAGACCCTGTGGTCGAAAACAGCCGCGAGCTGTAGAAACATGTGGCAGAACCTATACCAATCTTCAGTGCAATGCTGAGTTGAGCACAACCTATACCCTGAGCATCCCTGAGCTGACCCACACGTCGAGTTCTCCCCGTCCCACGTTCTGCCCGTTCTGCCCGTTCGCCTCTTTGAATGAGGCCGGTCTCCGTTGTCCTTCTACAGCCTAAACCAACGAACGGGGTGGACAACGGTTCCACAGCCCTGGGACAGGTCGAGCTTCAGCGTATATACTTCCTAAATATAACGAAGTCTTGAAACAAATGACAAACAGTTTGACAAACAATAATGATAGTCCTCGATGTCAGGAGCAAGTGCAATGATGTATATACCTTCTATAATTCTAATCTTGTACCTGTCGACAGGTCATGCGTTTGCTTGTGTTAGGGGGGGGTTGGGCTGGACATGGATAGGATGAGGTTTCTTGGCAGTTGTTTCCAAAACAAAGGAAGCAAATCTGTTACGTAGATGAAGTTTCTGCATAAAAAAGGTAAAATATTGCTATTAGGTTGGAGGCCATTGCTATTAGGTTGGCCACAAACGCTTGAAGGCAAGCCCATCTCCTTCCAAACTGATCTAACTTCTGACGGGTCACTGTCACCAGTTGTTCAGGAAGCCAATGAACAGTATACTATATTCAATCACAGCCGCCGGTCTTTTTCACGCGTTGCAGCCAGTTTGTCT